TTTTGTCTCCTTTGGTAGGTTTATTCCTAGGTATTTTATTTTTTTTGCTGCAGTGGTAAATGGGAGTGTTTCCTTAGTTTCTCTTTCAGATTTTTCACCATTAGTGTATAGGAATGCCAGAGATTTCTGTGCATTAATTTTGTATCCTGCTACTTTACCAAATTCATTAATTAGCTCTAGTAGTTTTCTGGTAGCATCTTTAGGATTCTCTGTGTATAGTATAGTATCATGTCATCTGCAAACAGTGACAGCTTTACTTCTTCTTTTCCAATTTGGATTCCTTCTGTTTCTTTTTCTTCTGTGATTGTTGTGGCTAAAGAGAAACCTTGTCTTTTTAGCAAGCCTTGTCTTTTTCCTGATCTTAGTGGACATGGTTTCAGTTTTTCACCATTGAGAACGATGTTGCCTGTGGGTTTGTCATATATGGCCTTTATTATGTTGAGGTAAGTTCCCTCTGTGCCTACTTTCTGGAGGGTTTTTTATCATAAATGGGTGTTGAATTTTGTTGAAAGCTTTTTCTGCATCTATTGAGATGATCATATGGTTTTTCTCCTTCAATTTGTTAATGTGGTTTATCACACTGATTGATTTGAGTATATTGAAGAATCCTTCCTTTTCTGGGACAAACCCCATTGATCATGGTGTATGATCCTTTTAATGTGCTGTTGGATTCTGTTTGCTAGTGTTTTGTTGAGGATTTTTGCATCTATGTTCATCAGTGATATTTGCCTGTAGTTTTCTTTTTTTGTGACATCTTTGTCTGGTTTTGGTATTAGGGTGATGGTGGCCTCATAGAATGAGTTTGAGAGTGTTCTTCCCCCTGCTATAGTTTGGAAGAGTTTGAGAAGGATAGGTGTTAGCTCTTCTCTAAATTTTTGTTAGAGTTCGCCTGTGAAGCCATCTGGTCCTGGGCTTTTGTTTGTTGGAAGATTTTTAATCACAGTCTTAATTTCAGTGCTTGTGACTGTTCTGTTTATATTTTCTATTTCTTCCTGGTTCAGTCTTGGAAGGTTGTGCTTTTCTAAGAATTTGTCCATCTCTTCCAGGTTGTCCATTTTATTGGCATATAGTTGCTTGTAGTAATCTCTCATGATCCTTTGTATTTCTGCAGTGTCAGAAATACAGTCAGTTGTTACTTCTCCTTTTTCATTTCTAGTTCTATTGGTTTGAGTCTTCTCCCTTTTTTTCTTGATGAGTCTGGCTAATGGTTTATCAATTTTGTTTATCTTATCAAAGAACCAGCTTCTAGTTTTATTGATCTTTGCTATTGTTTCCTTCATTTCTTTTTCAGTTATTTCTGATCTGATCTTATGTTTTCTTTCCTTCTGCTAACTTTGGGTTTTTTTTGTTCTTTCTCTAATTGCTTTAGGTGTAAGTTTAGGTTGTTTGAGATGTTTCTGGTTTCTTGAGGTAGGATTGTATTGCTATAAACTTCCCTCTTAGACCTGCTTTTGCTGCATCCCATCGGTTTTGGGTCGTTGTGTTTTCATTGTCATTTGTTTCTAGGTATTTTTTGATTTCCTCTTTGATTTTTTTCAGTGATCTCTTGGATATTTAGTAGTGTATTGTTTAGCCTCCATGTGTTTGTATTTTTTACAGGTTTTTTTTCCTGTAATTGATATCTAGTCTCATAGCATTGTGGTCGGAAAAGATACTTGATACGATTTCAATTTTCTTAAATTTACCAAGACTTGATTTGTGACCCAATATATGATCTATCCTGGAGAATGTTCCATGAGCACTTGAGAAGAAAGTGTTTTCTGTTGTTTTGGAATGGAATGTCCTATAAATATCAAGTCCTTCTTGTTTAATGGATCATTTAAAGCTTGTGTTTCCTTATTTTTTTTCGTTTTGGGTGATCTATCCATTGGTGAAAGTGGGGTGTTAAAGTCCCCTACTATTACTGTGTTACTGTCCATTTCCCCTTTTATGGCTGTTAGCATTTGCCCTATGTTTTGAGGTGCTCCTATGTTGGATGCATACAAATAGGTCTTTTAAATTCCTCAGGGTTTTGTGACAGTTTATTTCTCACCTGTGACTGAATATTTGCTTATACCTATGACCCTAAAGCAGTCGTTTTCAAAGTACAGCCTGCCAACAAGATTGAGTTGGTCAAGACCAGCATTTTTAAAAAATGTTTTTAAAGTGGAACAGAAAATAGCAGTTTATTGCACTTAGTGTATGTATTATGTCCTGAAACTCAGCTAAATCCAAGTGTTAACAAAAATGTCTTTTTCTTAAAAATGTGTGTATATGTGTATAGCCCTTATACATAAACAAGCATGCCTTAGAAGCTATAGTTTGACTCCTTTAAGCAGGTAGTCAGACATCACATCACCAACAAAGGAGCAGACTGACATCATGTGATATGTTGCATCGAGAAAGATAGAACTTCTCCTCTACGTTGTATCCCTGCCAAAAATGTTTAATTTAAATATGATCATGATGAAATAACTAGACATATTGAAATTGATGGACATTCTGCAAATAATTAAATAAACTGTCCTGAATTCTTAGAAAATACTAGTCTCATGAAAAAAACAAAAAAAGTAGGGGAATCGTTCTAGAATCTAGATTAAAGGAAAGTAAAGACACATGAAATAAAATAAAACATGTGTGATCTTTGATTCTGGGAGTTAAAACAGCTAAAAAGGACACTCTTGGTACAATTACTTAATGTTAGGTTGGTATAGTATCAGTCACTATTAAATATTAGATATGTTATTAGGTATATTAGGTAATATTTTTGTGTTGATTAGATTTTTAGTGTGATCACTGTATTATCATTTTGTTGGAGAATGTTTTTGTTCTTAGGAGATACATACTGTAGTATTTAGGAGTGAAGTATCATGACGACTGTAACTGTCTCTCAGCCATCCAGAAACAATATGTAGATAGATAAACATGTATGTGTAAATATAATGAGAGAAATAAAGCAGATGTGGCAGAATATTAACAATTGGTGAATCCAGGAAAAGAATGCATGGTGTTCATTGTATTCTTCTTGTCACTCTTTGTGCTTGCAATTTTTCAGGATAAAAAGTTGGGAAAAATAAATGCAAACTGTAGTTTGGTTAGCCAACTACATTACCCTGTTTTTTGAGGTAGGCTCTTAAATCTACCCATGAGCCACTTTTAACGGCATTAAGTCGCTTGGCATGCTGACTACAGTGCCTGTCACGGGAACTGAATGTGTCTCAGCATGGTGGTTAAGGGCAGCAGTTCGGAGCAAGATAAATCTTAGTTCCTATACCAGCTGAAACAAATACCTTGAGCAAGTTAACTCTCCTGAGCTGCATCTATAGTTTTCTCATCTATAAAATGGGAATAATAATAGAAACTCCTTTGTAGGATTGTTTTAAGGATTAAGTACCTGTCATGTAGGAGCATGCAGCAGATCTTAGCTATGATGGTGGCAGTGGTGTTGATGATGAAGAAGAAGACAGCAACAACAATTATGTTGGTGCCTTTGCAGCTAAGTCAGAGGTTCAGGGAGATGATCAAAACCATCCATGGACTTTTTTCAAAACACAGGTTCCTAAGTCCTTCTCCAGACCCTCTGTGCCTGAATCTCTTGGTTGAGGCCTGATGTACTTTGTTGTTAGCACAGGATTCAACAGCGAACAAGAAATAGTCTCTGTCCTCCAGAAGCCTGTAGCCCAGTGGGCACTTAGTTATACGCCTGGTCACCAAATGTCAGAGAATGGGAGGGAGAAATTTCCATGGATGGATTAGGAGAGAAAAGCCAAGGTTAGCATTTTGTGATGGAGAAGAAACTAATCAGGTTTACTTAAATTTTCTTTGCTTCCTATAATTACTACAGAAGAAGACACTGGAGGGTGTGTGGACCATAAACTTTGAGATACCCTTGTCTTATGTTCTAATATGTGAGAAGCTAAAGTTATACAGCTGTTTTTTTAACCAGTGGTCCCAAACTTCTCACATCTGAATGAGTGTTCCCTGCTACATAGTTCCCTTGGGAAGCCAGATCGTTTCTTAACTGGACTGTCATTGTTTAAACATCTCTTTGCTCTACTTGGAAACTGCCTTTAAAACCAGTTTAGGACCCCACAAGAAAGCCAAGCTCATTGATTTGTGTACATCACATTTTGGACTCATAGTGATATTACCCAGTTGATTCATTTGCCATAGTCATTAGACTTGTTTCCAGAAAATGTATCCCAAGATAAAGATATGCTACTCCCAAGAATATTCAAAAGAATACGTTAAAGATTCAGAATGTATTTGGGGTCTAGAAAACTTTACAGTCACTATCATATCCTTGAAATAAGTACCTGACTTCCCAAAGGTACAGCCTGACTTGGGTATGGGTGCATATGTAAACGGGTCTCATTATTTTAAATGAATCAAATATGGCCCCACACCTTGTCCAGATACTTTCAACATGACGGCACTGGCTGCTGGGTTAGACCTTCAGGTTATATATCGGTGTTTGAGATGTGGCATTTGTATAAAGTCCAGCCAAGAACAGTCACATGATGGGTGATACCTGAGTGATTGAAATTTTTTTTTCTTTTCTTTTCTTTTTTTTTTTTTTTGCCTATGCAGTTCCCAGTGCTGCTCCTCAGAATCTGTCTTTAGAAGTAAGAAATTCAAAGGTAAAACTTTATATTGCTGTTGTTCATTTTCTGTTTGCCTCAGGAGAGCAAATAGAGAGGGAGATTCTGTATTAAAACAATCATAATCAAGCAAAGAAAAAAAGTAACATAGATATTACACTTGCCAGTTTAAAGCTGGGCTTAGAAGCCGACTCTGGTTGATTCTGTTCAACTTTACTGCCTTGCTGTTGTGCAAAATTACTTTAGCCTTTCTTCAAGTACATTGCTATTATTATGTAAATCATGACATCCTAGATGTTAACTATCCGGAACCTTGGTGACAGGTAGAAAGAAGTAAGTTGTTGTGTATGATACCATAGCCTGTTTAGTACTGTGAGGTGAGCCCAGTGTGAATCAAAGGCAGACGTCTGTCAGATGGCTGCATTGCTGAAGCTGTCCCTCCTGGTCAAGTTCACTGTGCACTGAAGGCCATGTGTGCCTCTCAGACATCCAGAAGCCCTACTGGGCTGCATAGACAACTGAGACAGTCAGTTCTTTCAAAAAGGACTATGGGACTCCTTTTCCTTTAAGAAACAAACAGCTGTTGATTAACAGTCCCCTCTTTGAAAAGTTTTAGACAGAAATTGTCTAATTTTGCTGTTGCTACAGTGGAAGTAGAAGAGAACCTTACACCTAACAGTAGTTTACTTCCTAATCCACATGCCTCTGACCTTACGTTTTCCTTCAAAAACTTTCCTGAGACTTTTGCCCTATGTCTTCATTCTGGCAAAATAAAGTGCCGAGCGTATACTGCCCACAAATACAGTCTCCCCATTTGGTCTTTGATGGTTTTAAAATTAAACACTATTTTTGAGTGATTATTAAATAACTTAGTAAGACTCTGTCTGAACACTCCATTGCTTTTATGGTTCCTTCTCTTACACACTGAATTCAGAGTAATAATACATAAAACAGGACCAAGATTTGATATATTCGGTCTTTACCCTATAATCTTGTCTTTCCCAGAGTATTGTGATTCACTGGCAGCCACCTCCTCCAGCCACACAAAATGGGCAGATCACTGGCTACAGGGTTCGCTACCGAAAGGCCTCCCGAAAGAGCGATGTCACTGAGACGTTGGTGACTGGGACACAGCTGTCACAGTTGATTGAAGGTAAGCTGCTTTGCACATAGGCGAAAGCTAGGAGATGGTGTCTCTCTCAGACATTGAATTGTGCTAGTCTAATGACTGCTCTGGGCCGTTGACTTACACAAAGCAAAAATGGTTTAAAACAATTTGTAAGAGTTCAGTCCACTTCTGACTTGACACAAATTAGTGGAAAACACTCTTACAGGTTCTGCTATCTCTGGTAAATTGCATTTGAGTTTCATTGCCTTACTTGTGTTTTTCTGTGTTCTCTATGTTTTCTTTTTTGAATACATATATATACATACACACACACACACACACACACACACACACACACACATACACATATATAACTCTTTTGTAATCTGAAAGAAAGGTAAAACAAAGCTATATAAGCAAAGAATCCACTCAGTCTAGTTGGTAGCAGAGGCCTACAAAATGACTTCTATAACACTGACACCACTCAGGTATATGTGGCCTGAAACAACATTTGTGAATAGCCACAGCCATGCAATAATCATTCTTGCTTCTACAGACATGATAAAGTTCTAGAAAATTCTGTCAAGGATAGCTCTTTTGTATAGTTCTCCCTTTGTGTGAAACAGAGCAAGTGGCACACCTGATAAAAATGAACCCTAATCCATATAATCTGTATAGGTATAGGTTTCTGAAAATTGGAGAGCCAGTGACAGTGAAAAACTGTACTCCAGTAAACCAGCAAGCTTTTCTCTGTACTCCTCACCTCATGGATGAGATTGACTTCTTTCAAAATAGGAGAAGGTGAATGTTTGTCTTCAAGGGTATCCTTCAGTCTTCTAGTTTCCTCTCATAACCCCACAGCTCTAAGCTGCAGAAGGTAAATATGGCTGTAGGGGTGTTGCTGAGAAGTCTCACCAAAGGAGCATTACAGCAAAATTGGTCACGGATGTTCTTAAAAGTCAGTTTGATTTTACTCCAGACACAGATAAATAACATTTCCCAAAGATAAGGCTTTTATTTTGAATGTTTAATAGTAGATGTTTATTGTATACCAGGCACTCTTCTTGTTTCTAATAAATAAAAGTAGATACAGTCCTTGCCCATGAGGAGACTATTCGTTTTCTCAGTGGAACATTTGATGTATAAGCAGAGTACCACTTTCATCATAAAAATAGCCTTTTCTTTATCAAGAAAATTCTTGCATTTTAAAATCATATTTAGATTCATTCATTTGTTTAATAGACTTTATTGAACTTTTATTAGCAGGTACTGGCACTGAGTATACAATGATGAGCAAAAGTGGAGATCATTGTTCTCTTGAAGCATTAACTTGAAGCTGATAAGTATTGGAGAACAGTATGGGTTCCCAAGATCCTGTACTGAACAACAAATTATAGGATTTTAAGTTTTAGCCAGAAGTAATTGTTGTGTCTTCTTTTTGTACCACTTACAGCACTAAACACATTCTGCCGTTATCTTTATAATATGAATCGAGTGCCTTGGTTTTAGTCGATGAGCTCTCTAGGTTATCTTGAGGGAGAGGAGCTCAGCCTCTATACTCACGCGTCTCTCTCACTTGCACCTGCTTATGTGCACTCTCTCTCTCACTTGCTCTCTCCCTCTCTTACATTCCAACTCCCCAGAGGAGAGGGAATGACAATCTGATTGGTTGAATTCTTCCAAGTCCTCAATTGAACCATGTTTGTTGTCTGTTAAAGTTACAAATGCTTGTGTAGCCCACTCTGGCACGTCCTGTTCAGTGTGTGCAGGGAGGAGACAGAGAGGTAAACTGACTTGGCCCCAGCCTTTCTGCTTCTCCTCCTGTCTTGCTTCTTGCTTTCTTGTGGACAAACAGAATCAGGATGGGCCTGCAGAGGACAGAACCTCCCATCTCTCCTCTCACACCACGTGACAGGATTGATTAACTGAGCAAGGGCTCATCCTGCATCCTAGCCAACTTCTCTCTCAGTAGCTCTCTCTTTGGAGTTTCTGTACTATGTTGCTGGCCAAAGATGCTGTTATTTGAATATGGGGAAGTAGGATAATTTTTCATAACCCTTACAAGACCTATCACAATATCTAGAATCTAAGTGCTCTAAAAATGTGTGCATGTGAACTGTACACTTAAAAATGACTAAGATGATAAATTTTATGTTATATGTATTTTAACACAATAAAAAGAGAAAAAATGGAAGCATGAATATATGAATAGCTGACCATATTATTGACTGTTACCCCACTTTGTAGGATAGACTTTTACATGTAGATCTTTGTTGCCTTTGGTACATTGCTATATCAGGTACTTTGTTAGCTGATAGTAAATATGAAAGATTGCATAGTAGAGAGGCTTTATTTCTCTTTTACTTATAGTATATACTTACGGGCAATAGGCTGTTGAGAAATAGATTTCTAGGCCATATTTGATGTTTAAAATTTTTTCTACTGTGGTTATGGGGTGGCCCAGAGAACAGAGGTAAACTGGTAGGTGTTATACCTCTGCATTATTTTCTGGTCTTTGGTGTCTTTGAGACCAACTGACTTTGTTCCTTTGTTGTAACTCTTTCATTCCTTTGGCCTCTTTTTGGCCTTGGCCTCCTTAGTAACAAAATGAAGGGATTGCATTAAGTGATCTCTAAGATGCCTTTAAGCTCTTTTAAAAGATCTGAAGTCTCCTGGGAGCTTTACTCATTTTGTTTTCCTCTTGGATTTTGTGGGCTTTAGCCTCTACTTCAGAGGTAGGAGCTCCTCTGTGCTGTATTTATGTATTGCTTGTTCTGTATTAACTTTAACTGGAATGTTATCAAGATAGTAGCTTTTTATTAAGTTGGTGGATGAGATATTTGCTTTAATGAGAGATTGCTGATCTTTTGTTTTTCCAAACCTCTTGTTTCAGCCCTTTTTTTTTTTTTTTTTCTGTCGTTTGGGTTGCAGGTCTTGATCGGGGGACTGAATATAATTTCCGAGTGGCTGCTCTAACAATCAATGGTACAGGCCCTGCTACTGACTGGCTGTCTGCTGAAACTTTTGAAAGTGACTTAGATGGTAAGAACAACAATCGGCAGGATTGGCACAGGCTAGGTACTGACTGAAATCAAATGAGTCAAACTGGAAAGGCACAGATTTTGGGTGTTATGTGGCTTAAATCTGTGAACTTTAGTGGATTTATACTGCTGTCATTCCTGTAATACAGCAAGTCTCCTGGAATTTTTTTTTTTTTTTTTTTAGAGAGAACCGTCCCTTTAAGCAGAACCAGCACAAGTAAAAATGTACAAGTGCTTTAAGTCTGGTTTTTTACCAAGGCCGTCAAGTAGATAAATGATCTAAAATTTAAGGCTGAACCACATAAATTGTGCCTTTATTTCAGTTACAGTTTCCCTCTTCCCTTAGTCCTGGAAACCTTTCCCTTTTTCTCACCTGTTTATTCAGTAACTCCATGTGGGTGTGTGTATGTACCTTTATCAGAGACAGGTGCTGCACTTAAAAGACAAAAGACCTGGGTATTTACTCTAATTCTTTGTTTACTAATTTTTAAATAGTGGTAGAAATTTATGCCTTGAAATAATGTATGTGAAAGGTACTGTAAATTGCCACCTTTTAAAGCCTCTTAGTCTTCCACCATTTAAATCAATTTGTGGTTCTAAAGTTTCATATTTTCTGACTTACCGTATTACTTTGGGGAGTAAATAATTGATATCATTGCTGTAATATGATACTTGATCACCTGTTGACAGCAGGCTTCTAATTAGTTGATGTTGTGCCTTTCTCATTCCACCTGGTAGAGTTTGGGAGTCAGATGTAGGACCAAGAGGAATGGGTAACAATTGAAAGACAATTTATTTGTTTTTCTCCATTGGGAAGACATTCTTGGATCTCTTTCTCTTCCCTTCCAAATTAATACTGCAGTGTTTTGTATTTCAAGCTGTTTGAGTTTGTTTTCTTAGACTGCAGTGAAACCATGGGCCATACTTTACTGTACATACAGATTCTCTGAATTCTTGGGCAAAATGGAAAAAACTAAGCCCCAAATCATTGGGCAGAAGGCTGAACACCATTTCCCAAGCATGATGAAATATTCTAAAGGAAAGTGGCTCTGGATATCATCCTGCTTTTCTGTTTTCCTTCCCAGAAACTCGTGTCCCCGAAGTGCCTAGTTCTCTTCACGTCCGCCCACTTGTCACTAGCATCGTAGTAAGCTGGACACCTCCGGAGAATCAGAACATTGTGGTCAGAGGTTATGCCATTGGTTATGGCATTGGCAGCCCTCATGCCCAGACCATAAAAGTGGACTATAAACAGCGCTATTACACCATCGAAAATCTGGGTATGTGTGCTAAGTAGAGGAAGTAATCGCACATGTGATTTCTTTCTTTCTAACTTTTTATTGTGTAATAATTTTATTTTTACAGAAAACTTTCAAAAATAGTACAAAGAATTTTTATATATCCTTCACCCAGATTCCCCAGAGGTTAACGTTTACCACATATGCTTTATCTGCTGTATGTACCTGTATTTTTTTTTCGCAGAACCATTTGAGAGTAAGTTGCAGACATGATGCCCCTCTGTGTCCACTCATATTTACTTTTAATTTGCATTTCCTAAAACTAAGGGCATTTTCTAATATAACCACAGTGCAGTTATCAAAATGAGCAAATTAACTGTGAAACTATCTAAAGACTTCATATTTTACTAGTTGTCTCATTAATGTCCTTTATAACAAAAGAAAAACATTGTTTTCTGTTGCAGGATCACATGTTGTATTTATTGTTTCTCATTAGTTTTCTTTTATATGAAACAGTTTCTTGTTTTTTTCTTGACTTCCATGACTGTGACATTTTTGAAAAATACATATAGACCATTTATATTTTATAGAATGTTCCTCAGATTAGACTTGTGTAATATTTCCTCATTACATTCAGCTTATGCATTTTTGGAAGGAGTGACATAGATGCATGTGTTCTTGTCAGTACATCATATCAGGAGGCACATGAGAGTCTAATGCTAGTGATGTTAACTTTAACCACTTGGTTAAAATGGTATCTTCCACATTTCTCCACTATAAAGTTATTATTTTTTCCCTTCATAATTAAAAAGTACCTTGTAGGGGAGGTACCTTGAATCTTTGTAAATATCTTGTTTCTTGTCGAACTTTTACTCACTAGTTTTAGAATCTTTAGTTAACAGTTATTACTGTCATGTTTCCCAAATGGTGATTTCCTAATTCCATTATTTCTTCTACATTTATTAGCATTCTTTGGTAAGAAGGAGCTTTCCTTCTCTTCATAGTGAAAGAGCGGCCAATGGGAGTCTCTTTATGACTAGTTTCTCTGTCCGTTTGACATCTCCCATCTTTCTTTGAGCACTTTCTTTCTTTTTGACACAGTAAGATGTTACAGGCTTATCTGGTATTTTCCTAGCCTTTGCCCTTGAATCAGCTATTGCTCCTGATTTTTTATAAATGATATTTAGAAACCAGTATCTGAGCACTATACATGCTCATTGTTACTGGGTTAGAAATCCTGAGGAATCTATTAAAAAGGCTACTAGGGGCTTCCCTGGTGGCGCAGTGGTTGAGAGTCTGCCTGCCGATGCAGGGGACACGGGTTCGTGCCCCGGTCCGGGAAGATCCCACATGCCGCGGAGCGGCTGGGCCCGTGAGCCATGGCCGCTGAGCCTGCGCGTCCGGAGCCTGTGCTCCACAATGGGAGAGGCCAAAACAGTGAGAGGCCCACGTACCACAAAAAAAAAAAAAAAAAAAAAGAGGCTACTAAAACTATAACTGGGTTTAAAAGGTCACAAGATACAAAGTCAATATATAGAAACAGTTGTATTTCCACATACTAACAATAAGCAATTGGAAATTGGAATTAAAATAACAATACCACCATCAACAGAGGAATGGGTAAAAAAGTTGTGGTACATATATACAATGGAATATTAGCCATAAAAAAGAACAAAGTAATGCCATTTGCAGCAACATGGATGGACTTAGAGATTGTCATAGTGAGTAAAGTCAGACAGAGAAAGACAAATATGATATGATATTGCTTATATGTGGAATCCAAAAAGAGGGGTACAAATGAACTTATCTACAAAACAAATAGAGTTACAGATGTAGAAAATAAACTTACGGTTACCAGGGGGTAAGGGGGAGGAGAGATAAATTGGTAGAGTGGGATTGACATATACACACTACTATATATAAAATAGATAACTAATAAGGACCTACTGTGCAGCACAAGAGACTCTACTCAATACTCTGTAATGGCCTATATGGGAAAAGAATCAAAAAAAGAGTGGATATATATGTATAACAGATTCACTTTGCTGTACACCTGAAACTAACACAACATTGTAAATAACTATACTCCAGTAAAAATTTTAAAAAATAACAATACCACTTAATAGCATCAAAAATGTGAAGTACTTAGGAATAAACTTTAAATATATATATATATATATATAAGATCTGTGCACTGAAGAGTGGAAAATGATGGCTGAGAGAAATTAAAGAAGACTTAAATAAATGGAGATACCATGTTCATGGATTGGAAAGCAGTATATTACAATGACAGTCCTCTCCAATGCAATCCCAAGTAAAATCCCAGTAGACTTTTTTTTTTGAGAAAGAATTACTTTGTTATTTATTTATTTTTTTAACATCTTTATTGGGGTACAATTGCTTTACAATGGTGTGTTA